AGAGGAGCCCCCAGCCCTGGTGTCCCTGTCCGCAGGGAGGGATCCGAGCAGGGATCCGATGGCACCCGAGGGACGGGCAGCGACTGATACACAGCAAATTCCATCTGAACATGAAGAAGAAAAACTTCTTTCTGTGATGGTGACAGCGCTSGAACAGACTGCCCAGAGAGGGTGTGGAGCCTCCCTCACTGGAGATATTCCAGAACCTGTGCCATGTGTGCTGGGAGGGCCCTGCTTGAGGAGGGAGGTGGGACYGGAGAGATTCTTTCCAACCTCACCCACYCTGTAATTCCGTGATTACAGCGATCCTGTGATCTCTGTGATTCTATAACTTCTGCGATTCCTGTGATTCTTCTGATTTCTGTGTCCCCCGGTTTCAAATCAAGTGAGCAGCCGCGGGGCTGCGCCGCTGACCCGGCCCCGCTCCCGGCGGAGCTGCGCGGCCCTCCCCAGGCACCGTCCCCCGCGGCAGAGAGGAGCCCCAGAAGGAGAGGAAAGGAGAGGGGAATTAGAGAGAAAGGGAGGGGAATGAGCAGGAAGGAGATGAAAAGAGAGGAAAGGAAAGAACAGCCAGCACTCACCGCCGCCGCCCCGCGCCGCTCCCGCCTCCCGCCGCCGCCATGTTTGTTGTGCCTCCCCCGGCCCGGCCCGGCCCGGCCCCGCCCACCGCAGCCTCGCGAGACCCGCGCGCGCCGGCGGGAGCGGCTCTGACGTCACGGAGGGGGCGGTGGTCCTGACGTCACGGGGGGCGGTGGCCCTGACGTCACGGGGCGGGCGGATAAAAATGGCGGCGGCGGCGGCGGGAGCTTGGCTGAGGGGCTGCGCGAAGGTGACGCCTCAGGGCGGGACAGGGGAATGGGGAYAAGGGRAAGCGGACAAGGGGAAGCTRCACCGTGTCCTAGCGAGCCTGCCGGTGACGGGCGGGTGTCTCTGGCGCCGGGGMTGGGAGCTGTCGGGGTGCGGGGGCTGTGAGGGCAGCTCTGTGAGGGGTAACGGGGGGTTGGAAAATCCTTTTCTCCTTCTGCCCTCTGGGTTTGTGTGCGRAGGGGCGGTGTTGGGTAAGTTCGTGCTAGGACAAATTCTTGTGAAATGGTTCGTGAGAAGGCAGCACCGTCCCGGCAGCAGAGGCGCYTTGAGGTCTCCTTTAGTTATATATCAGGAAAAAATTCTTCTGTCCTCAGAGGGTGCTGGCACTGCCCAGGCTCCCCAGGGAACGGGCACAGCCCCGAGGCTGCCAGAGCTCCAGGAGTGTTTGAACAGGGATGCACGGGGGGGATTGTTGTGGGGTCTGTGCAGGGACAGTATTTGGGTGATCCTTGTGGGTCCCTTCCAACTCGGAATATTCTGTGGTTTGCTAAACACAGTTGTGACACTGGAGGGGTGGTCAGAATAAGGATAGAATCTGTGTTTTTGCCATGCATGCCTCGGCTGGGCAGGGTGAGRAGATGTGCAGGCCTGGGATCTTTTYGTGCAGCTTGYGTGTTGTGGYGTTTGAAATAAATTGAAATAAAGAAAACCAACCTCAKAAATYAAGGCATTGGGAAGCTTCTCTKTTGGGAAATAGCTGTGTGGAAACSAGCYGGRWTASAGGAGTGGARKTYASCAAGGCAAGCAAAATGAGCTGAGGAAAACATTGCTTTGGACTTTTTCGGTTTATATTTTAATGCTGCTGCTAGGTCCACCAGCATTAAAATCTTATTTTCGATTGTAAAAGAGAAGGAAACAAAAGAACTTATCTTTAAAGAGCTGAGGTGGAGGTAAGAGTTGAGATAAACAGAAAAATCAATTTTATCAGCAACCCAGAAACTAACTCTCAAATGTGTGTGTTTAGTAGGGCAAGCAGTCTGAATCCTGTGGCAGCATAAATCACTACTTAGAGAAAAAGAGGAGGAAAAAAAAAAGGCAGGAAAGCAGTAAACAAGGATTTAAGTAATTTCCATTCACTTTAAATAACTGCTTGAAAGTTAGTGATACTTGGAGCAAGCTGGGACAGTGGAAAATGTCCCTTCACATGGCTGGGGTGGAAATTGATTATCTTTAATGTCCCTTCCAACTGAAACCAGTCCATGATTTTATATTTTACATTCCCAGTGATTCACCTTATTTATGCCACCRTGGAGGAAAACTGTTCTTAACTTCGTACTTGGAAATAAAGTAGAGGAAGCAGCAGGAAGTTTGTGTGGTTTGTAGCTCTGTAACTGCTCAGGAAGCAGCACAGTATAAATAGAAATGTGCATGGATATTCTTAGTTTTTTCCTTCTCAGACAGGTGGTTGTTTGYACACCTGGGCATCAGGTGACCCTGCATAGCTGCGTGTTCTGCAAATAAWCCATTCCTGACTGACCACTTCCAGAACGTGGCTGCCTTGCATTTAATCTCTATTAAACAATGATTTCTTTGTTTTTTATGAAGATCCACAGTGATTCCAGTAATTTCATAATAATTTGAAAGTGTTGCAGCTATGTTGATTATCCAAACATTGCATTCATAAATCAGCCCTGCTCAGTACTTATGTCACATAGGGGGTTGAATTTGAATGAACACTGGGTGTTCACAGCAGTATTTATTTTCTCTATTACCACTTCTTAATGTTTGTTGTTGTTGTTTTTTAATGCACAACTGTTTGTGCTAAAATCAGTTTCCTTTATCACGGCAGACTTTTGCTTCTCGCCTTCTAGAGTTCACTGATGTGTTTTACATCAGTTCTTCAGTCAGGGAGATGGCAAGTGTTGAAAGCCAACATGAAAGAGGGGGAATTATTAGAAGGATCAAAGGAATTTTTACTTCCTGACCCCAGAGTTTCTGCTGTTTTTTGAGGAATGCTGCTATCACACTGCCCCTTGTGGAAYTGCCCTGTGTTCTGTGAGCTAAACRGGCGCCTGGTGAGGGCACAGTCAGTCTGTTGCTCACTGTGGGGTTAAGAATGAGTGCTGCCAAAAATGTGTGTTGGCAGACGTGTTTTCATATACTTTATGGTTCAGCTGTGTCTCTCCTGGGGGTTTCTGTCAGCAGTTGTCTTGGTAAGACGTTYATATCTCCACACTTCAGACTGACATAGCAAAAATGACAGAAATCTGTGGCAAAGATCAGATCTGTGCACATCAGAGTGGGCTGGGCCTGGGGAGCTGTGACAGCAGAGCCATTGTTCTGTCCTGCTGATTTTGAGACACATTCARGCTGTGCTGCTTTTCAGGAATACATTTTAGTTATTGCTGGCCCATTACTTTTTGAGCCAGATCAAATCATGTCGGCATCCTTTAAAATCCTAAGAAATTATTGTGTGCTTGGAGAGCATATTGGCCTTCATATCAAATTTACCTTTCTAAAGCCTTCTGTGAGATAATTGAGTAAGTCTTTGAACACTAAACAGTTTTTAGGTCTCTAAGGAACAAAGCTGTCACATTATCTATGTCCTGACAGTCACTATGTGTAGCTTCCTCCCAAAGCCACTGATCTGGTCACTTTTGTGACTTTTGCTACACATTCTTTTCTTAATGCTATTCCCCGTAGTAAAATGCTCGGCAATATAAACACCAAAATTGGCTACAATTAATGTTTGTGCATACTTTATAGAATAACCTTGTGTTAGTAAACTTCCAGAATGAAAACTTGGGAGTTAGAAGTAATTAATTTTCTTTTAGTACACAGGGGAGGGGGAGGTTWTATTTTCTCTAAAGATTTGAAACTAAACATTGGATATAAGTTGTATTTCCTAATAATTTACTGAATGAAAACACTGGGTAAATTCATATTTTGCTGTCTGCATACAAGTCTAACTGTTTGCATGTTCTGTATTTGTTGCCAACAGCTGAGAAGACACATGCCAGCACACTTGGCTTCTTGGAGGGTTTCTCCCTGTGTTTTCAGATCCTCCAAATCAGAACTCAAACCAAATCTGGCCAGTGATGGAGTTGTCTATGCTCCACTTCAGATGTTCACTGAAGAGGAGGCCATGCTGAAAGACATGGGTAGGTAGCTGTTATCYCTGTAGTTAAAATTCAGAGTTGTTTTAACTAGAAGGGATATTTTAGCTTAAAATTTTGTTTTCKTTATTTATTTCTAGTTAAATGTTGAGGTTGTTGGCAGGGGGGTTGTTTCACTTGGGCTATGTGTCTGGGAGAGTCGGGATAAGTTCATAACCTGTCAGAAGCACCATGTTATATTGATCTCCAAGGAGACTGTGGAATACTTACACGTTTTCTTTCTTCTCTTCATTGCAGTGGCAAAATTTGCCCAAGAACGAGTTGCACCTTTTGTGCAAAAAATGGATGAGACTGCGAAAATGGAAGACTCTGTTGTACAGGGATTGTTTGAACAAGGGGTCTGCACACTTTTCTCTAATCTGTTATATGAAAAGGAAAATAATTTTATGACTCTATAACTGCCCTGTTCAGATTTTTAGATTAAAATATTTAGTGATATAATTCAAATGAACTAGTGATTCTTAAAAAATGTTGGAGTTGTCAGCTACAAGACAACTTTCTTTTCTTTTTTACTGCGTTATCACTCTCCATCTTTTACTGTAATGTTTTTTCCATCTCACCCATACCACATACTTCACCTTATCTTTTAGTTCCTTGTCTTCCCTCACTCAGTTTTCTTTAAATTGAATAAGCATAATTGGATGCTRGAAAGGCCATGACTCCAAGTGTTGATGGAAAGGAAAATCAGGAGTCTTCTGTGCCTTGCTGGGCAGCCACAAGAACTTATGTTGCCAATATCCAGGTGTTCATTCCTGGATTCAGTGTTAGCCTTTCCTGCTATCAGAACCAACAAATTTATAGATTTGCACCTTTTTCATTTCAGCTGATGAGTATTGAGCTTGGGGAAGAATATGGAGGAACTGGAGCTTCATTTTTTTCAATCATATTGGTGGTAGAAGAATTGGCCAAAGTTGATCCAGCTGTGGCTCTTGTGTGTGAACTCCAAAATACCCTAACAAATAAGTTGATTACCACCTATGGAACAGAAGAACAAAAGAGAACTTACTTGCCCCGGGTGTCYAAAGATACAGTGAGTCTAAGTTTTACTTTAGTTAAGTATTAAAATTACATTATAGTTTAGTAATATTAGTAGGATTTTTTTTTCAGTTACTAATGTGTGTCTGCAGCTCTGGAAAATATGTGTGAACATTGAAACACTGGTTAGAGCTGAGATCTGTGGTGAAATAGATACATCCTTTGATCAGTAGCTGAGAGGTAAAAGTGGAAAGGCACTTATTAGTTTCATTAAAATTTAATTTACTGTGGAAAAGAACTGTAAAGCAGTTGACTTTGAGAGATGTGTAATTACACACTGTTTCTATTCTTAATCTCCWTAGCTGAAACTCAGTTTCTTTAATGCAGTAGGTTAAAATGTTTGAATTTCAGAGACTTGTGCTGTCTTTTAAGTATTTTCCTTGTAAGATATATTTGTATTTGTGAAAATTAAATTGTCTTTTTCCTTTCCCTTKACAGCTAGGGAGTTTCTGCCTTTCAGAGGCTGGGTCTGGCAGTGATGCTTTTTCCTTGAAGACTCGAGCTGAGAAGAAAGGAGATTACTACATCATCAATGGCTCAAAGATGTGGATTAGCTTAGCAGAAGATGCAGGAATTTTCTTTGTCATGGCAAATACAGACCCATCCTTAGTAAGTTGCTACAGAATTATTGCATTTCAGTGACAGCTGATGATATATGAAATAGTGGAATTTTGTTAATAATCTGATGTTAGAGSTTAATACTCTGTGCACCTTTTCCTAGCTGACTGCAAACCTTTAAAAATATTTCCCAACAAAAACTGATAACTTGGTGAGCAATTTAATAAATTCCTTCAACCAGGGAAAATAAAAATGTCAGGATCATGGTTGTTTAGATGAAGAGCACAGCATTGGTGGTGTTAAGACAACAGGACTCGCAGTCATAAGTTTTTTCAGCCCTTCTGATTTAGCTGACAAGTTGCTATTGTTAAGAGGCAAAATGGAAAACTAAAAAGTATCTTATAGTAAAGTATATTCAAGTAAAAAATTACATAGCTGAATATGCAAGTGTCAGGTTTGTCCCCAGTTTGGATACAGGGAGTAGATTTTGAGAAAAGTCAAGTGCAGACTTTAAAATGTACTTAACCAATATGGTAATTATCAAATACAAAACTAAATGGTTCAAATTTTTATTCTTTAAATTCCTTACAGGATCTCTGTCTTAAAATTTTGACTTGGAGATACTTACTTTTAAAATTAAAATTTCCTGTTTTGACTGAATGAGGAGAGGGTTTTATCCTTTGTTTATGTTGAACAGTGGAACATTATGTTAAACCATAGTTAGCATCAGATTACAGTGCCACTGTGTTAAGTGATACATATTATTTATCAGATGTAAAATTTCAGTATTGGAATGGAATATTGAGATGTTTGGTGATATTAGTATGAAAACAACTTTTTGATTATTTTTGATTGCCTCCAGGGGTACAGGGGAATTACATGCTTCATAGTGGATCGCAACACCGAGGGGCTTCATGTGGGGAAAAAGGAGGACAAGCTGGGAATCAGAGCATCTTCCACCTGCCCAGTAACRTTTGACAACGTGAAGGTATTGTAAGTTCAGTTAATTTAATTCCCYTTTTTYTCCCCTTAGACACACTGATTCTTTGGCATATTTTAATATTTTCCTACCCCAGAAATCTAGAGGGAGGTTGGATTTCTAAAACTTCGTTTTCTTTTTTTCCTCAGTCATCAGTTTACAATCATRTGAATCTTGGAATGTTCTAATCAGATATTCTAGGAATCAAATGTCTGGTTTATGCTTTACGCTTTCACTTATGAGGAGCAATTAATAAAATATATACCCTGATTAATATGTGAACCCTGTCAGTAGTTGCCAAGCAGGACAGAACAGGAGTGATTGGGTGGTTTTATTTTTCAGGTTCCTGAGACCAATATCCTGGGACAGGTGGGACAAGGCTATAAATATGCCATTGGAATGCTCAATACTGGCAGAATAGGGATTGCTGCACAGGTGGGTAATTTTTTTATTATTGAATACAACCAGGATATAACTTGTGTTGGGACTGAAATTWGTGGAATATTTAAAGCTTTTAAGAATAAACTATTTAGGAAATACTTGCCACTAGATGTCACTGTTTCCGTAGCAAAGTTACATCGAAGATGTTAAAAATTGCAAGTGGGAAAATTCTTCTGTGGTGACATAAGCAAGAGGYTCAGAAAACATTAAATGATAATTAGCTTGATCTTTGGTCGTTAACTTATTGMTATTAAATTATGTCAATTTTCCTGTTTTCCACTACGAATATTTATATTATTAAGAAAACTAACTTTGGAAAATTTCACACACTTCTAACTGGGATTGTATGAARCTGGCAAATGTAACCTAATGCTAACTGAGGTTTTCACAACAATTTGTTTTTAAAAGTCAACTTGTTTTTTCAATAAATGTGATTTTCTATAGCAGAACTGATATAGTTCATTATTGTGTTTGAAAATTGCATCTATGGCATCTTAGGGTRAAATATTTACTGACCTTGGAGTAATTTCAAAATGCTGTATTTTGCTGTAAAGTCAGCGTGGATCTCAGATTGCTATTGATCTCAATGGAAATCAGGTTCAGCCCTATATTAAAATGACTTGTGATAAGTTTTTAATTTTTTACATTAGTTTGAAGTAGTCATCCTCATGAAATTGAGACTTTCTACATGGCAGTACACTATGCTGATAATTGGCCTGGCTTTTCCATCTTTTCTAAAGATTACTTGTGCTGAAACTTCATCTGATATAGCATTTAAAAAGGACTTTGGGCCTCGTTGTTCCCAGAGATATAAATAATATAAAGGCTCTGGCAGTAAAATACATGGTCTGGATTTTACTCTTAATTACTCCAAGTTACACCTTAATTAAAAGTTAAGGTCAGCTAGTTGTTATATCTTAGTTACTGCCTTCTTGGCACTTCAAATTAAGAGAAATGTACTTGACAAGAACAGCAGCTCTAAAGCCCTGCAGTATTGAGTTTAGTTTTTCAGTTGTAATAGTTTTTAAAGATAATGAAGATCTTATAAAATGTAATTGTGACTTTTAAAACAATTTCAGATGGCTTTAGTGCAAGGCAGCTGCATATATGGTTACAGGTGCTGAAGTTAATGGACTTGGCTCTTTTATATGAGTTTATATAAAGATAACCAATTGAAAATAGGGCTGATTAGCAGCAGACTGCAATATTTTCTTTTATTATTTCCCYATGTATCATTTTTTTTTCTGTTGTATATCATTAAAGGTAGTTTTTCTAAGTTTCTTGATGTGACAACTGACTGCTTGTGTCTTTGTGGAAAGACATAATTGGTCTGAATTCTTTTACAATTGTTCTGCAGAGTTGGAAGATAGTACAAGAAATGTTATCTCTCCTTCCACTCCACTAATTTTCTAGCTTCTGAAATAAATTGGTAATTCTGGCAGTCTGGTGACCTCTAGAAAATGAGAAATTATTTTGATTATGAAAATAGTTTTGATTAATCATTCAGATTATTTTTCCTTTAATAGGGTAATGTAGATCTATAGAACTTCAGTTTAAGGTCATTTTCTCATGCACTTAGGAGTTTTCCCAGAAACACTTAATGTTTTTTGCAACCACAGTTGACCCATAACTTTATTTCCAAAATTATTGGTAGTGTTTGCGCAAATACTTGCCTATGGTAAGAAATGGAATAGCATGGRATAGGTTTGTTCCTCCAACTTTTTTTAATCATAGCTCATCTCCGTTTRTCTGATAACTGTAAAATTCTGACTCCTGGGATTCCATATAGAACCTTTTTGTATTTCAGCTTTGTGTAAGTTTTAGCAATATCTAGGTAGGAAGGAAACTTAACTTTTCTCCTGAATATCAACCTGCCTGACCAGAAGATAATGAACTATTATCATTTCCATTAAATGCGTTAAGTTAACCAATTTTTACTGACCATCTCCTTATTATTTTTTACAGATGTTGGGACTGGCTCAGGGRTGTTTTGACCGTACAGTTCCCTACACAAAGGAGAGAGTCCAGTTTGGGAAAAGCGTGTTTGATTTCCAGGTACTTGTTCATGCACACATGGGATGTTTGCTCCAAGAAGGGAATTGTGACCACAGTAATCACTAAAATGAGGAATATGGTTTGCATAATTTGAGCTCCACCTTGATATGTCCTTCCTCCTCAATATTTGAGAAGAATTTTTAGAGAGAAATCTGGATGAGCATTCATCTGCCATGTAAAACATGTCAATTCAGTGCTATGTGCCCTTGCCACAAATAATTTAAAACTTAAAAATATTATCGACATATTTCTTTTGCTTGATAACTTATTGATGTTCTTTGAAAATAATACACATGGAACTCCCTTCTGATTTTAATATCACACTTTACTAAACGTCTTCCAATTTTTATACCCTTTCATGAGGTATAGGGAAAGAGCTTTTTCTGGAGACACTAGAAATGATAAAAAGATGAGAAAAACTGATTGAATTATTAGATTTCCTGTGTTGTACAAAGRCATTTAGTTTTCATTATAGTATCTGTTTCTTACAATGAAAAAGACTCTTTGTTGCAAAAATGATGTATAGTTTCATAAGGAAGATACATAATCGTAATTACTATAGTAATTTTCTTGTTAAAAGAAACCTACATCTCAGCTGAAGAGAAGGAACATTAGCACTACTCATAATTTATGCAAATTTTAGGAAGCACTCATGGATACCTAGGAAATGATTGGAACTGCKTCTTTTGAATGGGAAATGGAATTTATAATTGCCAAATCATTCTGGTATTTTGACCTGCCTATATATTTCTGCAAATCTGAGGGAGCGATGTTAATGTTCTAATAAGATGAAAGATTTCATTGTGTTTTAGACTACTAAATGTTCATTTTCAATCATCATAATATTTGGGTCTTCTTAAATAAACCCATTCTTCTGTAATACCATTCAGATGTGAGCTCCATCACCTCTTCCCTTCCCCTTGAAACCATGCCTCAGTCATGTCCTCTGTACCWTTATGTTGCTCCTAAATTTTGTCTYGTGCCTCTGGGACAAGGAAAKGAGTTGSCATCTTGATAGCTCTTCACTTCATTCAAGAAATACTTGTTTACAAGTTTTCCTTGGTCAAGCTTCTCAGGAAACCAGACCTGTTATTGTCTGAATAAACAGCTGCAGAATGAAAACGCAGCTCTGATTTCCTCATGTCTTTGTCAGCTGAGGAGGATGTTAAGATTGGGGTAAAATTTTCCTTTATATTCATGGCTGCAGATAGGTTTACCCTCTGTCCAGCCAGACAGGCCAAAAGAGCCCCAGTGCTCCTGAATTCCAGAAAAGGGAAGGGTAAAATAGGAGTGCAGTTCCTGAAAGCACTTCAGGATTGCCCCAGGAGTTTTCCCAACCTCAGTGACAACAAACACAGAARGAACATGGAATTACTTTCCTTCTGGATTTCATATTTTTATTTTAGCATATAGGGTGAACAGAACACTTGTTGCTGGAATTGCAGTGGGGTTGTGGCTGTGTCTGAGTGCTGTGCTGCTGTTGCAGGGGATGCAGCACCAGATTGCCCAGGTGGCCACGCAGCTGGAGGCGGCCAGGCTGCTGACCTACAACGCGGCGCGGCTGGCGGAGGCGGGCAGGCCGGCCATCAAGGAGGCCAGCATGGCCAAGTACTTCACTGCTGAGGTACCTTCAATTCCTCACTGCAGCCCTTCATCCCACTGCTCTTAAAGCTCCTTCTGTTACCAGGGTGTAACTTGTAATTCATCTCTGTGGATATACTTTTATCTCGGATGCCCCCCTCCTGGAAGTCACATGGGGCTCTGAGCAGCCTGGTCTAGTGGAAGGTGTCCCTGCCCATGCAGAGAGGTTGGAATGAGATGAATTTTAACATCCCTTCCAATCCAAACCGTTCTGTGATTCTCAGTCCATGCACTAAAGTAAGTCACCAAAGAATAAGCTGCTTATGCCCCTAAATGAATTTTTAAAAGCAAGCCCCAACATTAAAAGAGGAAAGTGAATTAATATTTTCACTTATCTAGATAAGATTTAATTTTCTCAGAATTCTCTTTTTGTGGCATGAGAAATGATGCTGTAAAGAGTTCATTTGTGACCATTTCAGCTCTGCTGGTCACATCTGTGAGTCTTAAAATGGTTCAAAATTGAACAACTTCTGCCTCTTTGCAATTGCTCTCTTGCATACCACTGCTGTACAGTTCAGTACAGAACTATTGCTGAAACAATTAGTGAATTCCTGATGTCCTCTGATCTAGAAAAATGTGATTTTTATTCTAAAATGTCTTATTGAAGATGAGTACCAGAATATCAATCCTCCTATTCAAGTTACTGCTTTATTCCTTGTTTTGTTATTAATTAGTTACAAAGTACCAGATTTACTCCCACTGTCATGAGGTTGAATCCTGTAACTCTGAAACYTTCTTCATAGGTTGCAACACTGACAACCAGTAAATGTATTGAATGGATGGGAGGTGTTGGATTCACCAAAAATTATCCAATAGAAAAATACTATCGTGACTGCAAGATAGGTGAGTAATATTTTCTAACCAAGTATCTCTTGTAGCTTTAGTGCTACTGAAGTTGCAGGATGAATGACTGGCTTTTTTTTTCCAGGATATTTCTTTTCCTGAGACTTTATCAACACTAATTCAAAGGCTCAGATAGAAAACTTTAGGTATAAATGTTTGTATATGCAAGGCTAGTTAAAATATTTCATTAGATACCRATAAAATACAGGCAAACATTGGGTCCCAATCTGTTAAGAAAATGTCAGTAAAAAAAAATTGAAAATGCCTTCTTTGGCTTTAATATCTCAGTCTATGGGGAGTTTTATTTTCAAGGCTTCCTTGTTTATCAGGATAGTCCTTGGRCCCAACAGTTTGACATTTTTAACARTATTACCCTTTGGCTTTTATTGTAATTGCATTTGTAACTCCTTAATTTTTGTTGGCTATTAAAGAATTGCTTTTCAGGAAAATGTCTTTTCATTATGTGGTGCCAGCCAGAAAATTGCTTTAATTGTTACAGATAATAAAATATGAACATGCATAATATTATATAAATAATTTTAATTCTGTGCTAGTACTTGCACAGGAAAACTTCATTTTATAATAGTAAATGTTCTTTCTAAGTGAATTGTCAGAATGATATTTTGGTCTCTCTTCATAAATTCACTGTGAGTTTATAGTCCACTAATTTATTTTCTTCTGATTTCAGGTACAATATATGAAGGAACTTCAAATATCCAGTTGAGCACAATTGCAAAATTCTTAGCACAGGAGTACTAAAACCATAAGGACTTTCTTGACTGTTAYATGAGAATTATTTCCCTGAACACTGCTTGTGAATTACCCATTTATTTGTAAWTACAGAAGGCATTGATGACATCATAAATAAGAATACATCATCACAGATGAAATTATAGAGAAAACCATAAATTTCYCATTTCAGGATAGTGAGTAATTCACATGAAATTGTGAATTCCACATCCAAATCCAAATTTCTTTCTGCCTGAGAGACTTCCAAGCTAATGCACTGGATTTAGCTACCTTAGGTCATGCCAGCAGTGAATCTTCAATTGGAGATGTCAGAATGAAAACAAAGGAATCCAAATCCCTGGCCTGGCTGGTGGGAAGGGTTCTGTTAATCCACCTTGGAGAAAGGACTCTCCACGTGCAGCAGAGCTGTGAGTGCTGTGGAGCTGCTGTTGGGATGTGCTGCCTGCATTAGCATGGGGTGCAAAGGGAGGAAAGTGGTGTTTTCCTGTCTCCCAGGTGGAGTGATGGCTGTGGAGCTGCTGTAATTGGAGTCATTTTTATAGCAGCCCTTAGTGTGTTCTTAAGGATATCTTTGTAATTAAGCCTTTCCAGCCCCAATTTGTACTCCTGAAAGGTGGATAATATCCACCTCCCTTTCCAGCCTTCTCAGCTGTTAAGGGTTTTAATCTAAGAGCCTATTTATAGTTCTCCTTTCATAAAAGGTTGAGTTGAAATCTTTCTGAAATGGGGTTAAAAAAGCTCTGGTAGTTCTGCAAAAGGACAGATATAAGCTGGGTAATGGGAGTGCTGTGATACTACCTCACAGTGGCCTTTCCACATTCAATGCATTTTACCAACTTTAAAGGGAGGTGCTGTTAATTTGCAGACTAGAATTCCTTGCTCCTGGAAGTTAGTGGTTCTCCAGTATAGCTTTTCCCTTTTTGAGAGAGAAAAAGGGGAGGGGGTTGGGAAGTATTTGCTTTTTTTATTCCTGTCTGTTTACTCTAAAATTAGACATTTTATTTACAGCAGAAACCTCTTCAGTGCTGGAGAGCTAATTAACTAATAATCAAGAGACAGGAAGCTTAATATATGAAAAATCATCCTAATTGCTSTAATTGGCAATCTGTTTCAAGTGTTTTGGGGAGGGAAGGATTGGTTTTCTGGTTTTGGCTGACTTAGAAGAATCTCATTTTTAAAGCTTGCTGTTCACTGGTGATTCACTCTGAGAGGAGCTTAGAATGTTAGAGGCTGAGACTCCCAAAGGATTTCCTTAGCAAAACCAGGGCAAATGACACTTAACAAGTGGGATTTGTAAAACAAGCAGCCTGCAGTGCCTTAGACAAAAAGCCAAGCAAGGATGAAAAGCACTATTAAAAAGTTTTCTGACTTTGAAGCCAAATAATTACTTTAGTGAATTAATCCCCTTATATACATGCTTTGCCTGTTGATAGGCAAAGAACTATTCTGGTGATTATCCTTATGCCAATAAAAAAGCCCCTCCCACATGAGTTTGATCAAGAGCTTTGAGATTTTCAAAAACACAAGAGTAGGAAAGTAGACTAAATGGTTTCTGAAGTTTTCTTCTGGCAATATTATTATTTGTAATCATTATCATTATTWATGTATTTCAGATTTGTTTGTGGGCTTTCTTTCAGCTGATTTGAAACAGCTGGGGAAATTTAGATTAGATTTAAGACTACAGACACCACAACTTTAATTACAGTTATTCTGCTCAACATAGTCTATCTGTGAATCTAAAATGATCATAACCACACTCCAAAATGCTTGAGTTAATGTTGATTAATGTGCAGAGTTGTGCCAAGGCAAGGCAGCCCTTGGCTGCTGAGGTTTAATCTGCTTTGCTCACATGAGTGTTCAGAGATCAGGGCTTGGTTCATCATTTTTACTGGGATCTCCTGGTTTGAGACACRGTCTTGGCTTGGCTTCTGCAGTTTTTTGTGAGACTGAGAAATGAATGGCAATACTTAACTGGTTTAATACAGTGCCAGAAGCAAAGCCTTTGTGCAGGAAAGTGCAGAGCTCTTTGAAGGACTGTTAAGAGCTGGAGATATCCAGGATTATGTAAAAAGACTCTTTGTGTTGAACTGTGTCAGGTATCCATTTGAAAAAAATAACCAGGAAAAAATGACATTAATGTGATTCCTCACAGTCTGATCTTGGATGCCTAAGTCCAGGAAACAACCTGAACATCCTCATCAGCTATTCAGCAGTAGCTGAGGAGCCTTTTTTTTCAGCAAAACAAGGTCAAGCCTTTAACAAATGTTACAGCTGTAAATATTTCATGTCTTTGTTCATGTCTTTGTATGCTGTATTTTATACACAGTTTTGAAAGAAATGTGTGTATTGTATTTGATATTTGTATACAAAATTCTGTGGAGGAATATGAGCACAAATCAATTACAACCCCTGAGTATCTTTCATTGTTGTTTTTACAGGACAGATACCTCTGTGGAGAGCATTGGTTACTCTGGTCATTGATTCTGGGAGGAGTTAACTTAGAGAATCCCAGAATRATTTGGGTTGGAAGGGAACTTAAAYCCCATCCAGTCCCACCCCTGCCATGGGCAGGGACACYTTCCACTATCCCAGGTTCCTCCAAGGCCCATCCAGCCTGGCATATTTTCATCCYCTCAAGCTTGATTCCATCACTGCTCTGAACTCAGATGTTGGATTWGGAATGGGAAGTGCTGTGCTGTTGTCCAGGAGCTGTTAAGAGCTGCCTGTGTCCCCCAGCCCTTCTTCTGGTTTGGGACAGGTATTTGTGGGTGGTCATAAATGATAATTCTACACTGGGCATTCTGGGCACGGGCTGCAGAGTTGGGGTGGAGAATGCTGGGAGGCTTCCTGTGCTTTTTAAATGCTTTATATACTCAGTATGTATTTTATTAGTGAGTTTTTCCTTTTTATGCCCTTAGTCCATCCAATCTGTTATCCTGGAACTGCAACTTCAGTATCAAATGTTGCATGTGAGYTTCCTGGTTAGAAGACCTGTATTGACAATGTATTAAAAAGTGCCTGAATTTTCTTTTTGACTTGMTAGAATGGTAATCTTGTATATTGGGTCACGGTTCTCTAATAATCTRTCACTTTAAATTGTTGCCAGATCTTGCAGTTTTTGTACCAGGAGGGAGCAACTGTGTCATCTGTCGGGTTTCTCTGGTTCTGTTGGGTTGGTAATCAAGGTCTGAGGCAGATTTCCACAGAAGGGTTTAATCACTACTTGGGAAATACTCAAATACAACATTTCATATCACRTTTTCTGTGCTGTTGTTCTTTCTTTCATATTTTCTTTTCCCCACATAAAGATTGTGTTAGAAAAGGCTTACATGAAATACAGAGTAATTGTTCTTTGGTAGCCTTTTGCTATGTAAAGACTTTTCTAATTAACGTGTTACTGCATTTCCACTTGAAAATCTTTTGGTGAGAGACACATTTCAAGTTGTTTTACCAAGCTAAGCTCGACTGGAAACCCAGTCTGTTTTGAAAGCAGCTGTCTGACTTCCCTGAGCTGGTCTTGGGCACACAAAAGCTGAAGAAATGCTTTTCCTCAGCCCCAGAATGTATTCAGGGTAACTAGAAATAACCACTGTGTTCCCTAATAGCTTGTTTAATGTTCAAAAGAACATGTAGTGTACACTGTAACATTTTTCCYGGTGAAATATTTAGAAATATAAATCAAAAATATGTGCAGTCTCACTAGACAGTAATAGCATTTTTATATTTTTTGTCTTTCAAGATTACTTGGATTTACATCTTTCTGAAACTATTCTCTCTCTGTCTCAGGAACTGTAGAGCTGCTAATACTGGAGGACTTAGACAAACCAAAAAAAATGTAAAGTTTTTTGTGCCTTCAGTCAGGAATGTGGAGCCAGATCTGAAGCAATGACCCACCCCTCGGTGGAACAGAATCATTTTCTGATCATCCTTTCCATCACAATAAGTTTGTCACAAGTGTCTTGTATGTTTTTGGCCTGAATTTTTTTCAAGGACACGCTGTAAGATTTTTCTGTGCACTAATTTACATCCTAAATATGCAAATTAAATGCAAATTTTTCAGTATAACCAGAGCAGGTTTAATTTGATACTGTGTTGCTGTGGTTTTCTGCCTTTGTTTAGATCATACCCGAAGACATGATAATTACATGTTAGACATTAGCATCTCTGGATATTTTTGGGGTTTCTGTAGAAGAAAATTGCTAAACAGGCATAATTAAAAAATAAAAGTTAAGGTTCTGGAACAAGTTAAATAGTGAAAAGCTCCACAGAACTTGTCTGGCTAATGGAGCAGCTGGAGATAGAGTTGSTACAGGACAAACCTGTTTTAGGGTCAAAGCTGGTGCTGTTTTAGGCAGAAACCATCAGCCATTCTATTCTGAGGTGGAGGAGGTTTGCACCAGCTGTTCCCATAAGACCTGGCAAGGGCACTTTGCTCAGCTTAAGTACTTTYTGAACTTTGAAAATGTTTTGTGACTCCCTGTGATGCACTGGAAGATGGTTAAATGTCACAAAGGCTCTATTTCTGTCCATAGCCTTGTTTTCCTCATGTTCAGAGAAAAATTCCTTGTGTTCCACTGTGCATCTTCTACCAAACACACACTCTTATGCTTTCTCCTTAAATTTCTTAATTTTTAGGTCTTCTCAATGTCCATCCAGCTGGGCTTTAGATGGAAAATAATTTTCTTGGTTTAATTGCAGCAGTGCTTATATCTGACTGATAGGGGCAGGTTATTKTGACTTGCTTGACTAATAAAAGCTGGATTCAGCAGGGTGTTTGTCATAAAATACATTTGACTGCCATGGAGGATTCACAATTTCCAAGGACCAAAGGAAGGTGCAGCGATAGATCTTCTATTTAATGCTGGAAATATTTTAGCTGTGGTGTACTTTGACTTCAGTGATCCAATTTGCAGAGATAAACAATTCTCTGGCAGTAATGCAGCTTGCCATTATTTAATAATTATTTGAAATGTGCCTTGCTACCCTTGTGTAAGAATCTGGGCTGCAGGGGAGKTTGTGGTTGTGCTCTGATTCTTCAGGGGCTGACACAGCACTGGGTTAAAGCACCCAATAGTCTGGTGTCTCAGACTATTCTAATTTAATAGCAAACCTTCACTATCCTGCTGCTTCTATTTAGAAGTGTCCAAAAATCTTTTTTTTTTTTTTTTTTTCCAACTGTAAAAGCCTTCTGGCACTAAATTACATCTATTCCTTGACTGAAACATATCTGTTCTATGCTAACCTCATTATCCAGGAATGATTTCTAGAAGAGGAAGTGAAGAATAATTAAATCATTCCTAACTGAAGGAAATGCTTCGCAGAACTATGCAAATTCCAATTTGGCCAAGATGCTGTGGTTTCAGATTCTATTTCTGGGAAGGGCAGAGGGAGAAACAGTTATTTTTGGAGTCATGGGCAGCTGGGTTCTGGCTGCAGTTTTTGCTTACCTTGAGCTGGGAGGGWGTGCAGTTCCCTCCACCACCCTCATCAGGATCTTTGCTGCAGGGAGTGCTGGTAAATTAAACTTGTCCCTCTTTCTGCAGGTGGTTCTTGCTGAGACCCTGAATTGGGGGATTTTCCTGTAAAATTGTGCCTCAGCCCTGATCTGAAGCAGCATCTTGTCTGTGGTGTGCACTGCCCTTGCTGCCCGCATAGGGCACAGACTCTTCCCCACCTTAGTCTGTGCTGCAGTGCCTGGAATAAAACCAGGATTGTATTTTGGAGGTTAAAAATGAGTTTATTCTGTGTGTGTGCTCAGCAGGAGTGCCTGGGGGAGACCCTGGGCTGGGCATGGCCCTCCCGGGGCTCTGCACTCACATCTTTAGATTTGCACATTTATCCTTCTGCAAATCTCGCTCTTCCAGGGCTTTAGGCAAAAAGAGGGTAAAAAAACACCCTCACAATTAGCTCTTTTTATATGGGAATGTTTGCAAATATATCAGTGATGTGTAATTGAATTATTAATTGGGAAAAATGTGATTAGAGTGCTGGAAGAACGGCTTTTCAGTGCTCCACAACTTTGGTCTTTCAGGGAATCAGATTGCTGAAATGAGTTATACATTGAAGAAATGCACTTAGAATGAAGAACATATGTCCTACTTTTCCAGCTTTTCCTTTAAAAGTTGCATATTATAATAGTGGAGTGTAAAGAGTAAACTTCAGTGATTTRCAAAAGGCACCAGCCTTGTGCCTTTTCCAAACTGGTTGATTTATGTGCTGTTTGCTGTTTTTGAGAACACAAAACAATTAATTCATGTGTGAAAAGAACAGTGAATTAATCCTAGAGAGCCCTGGAGCCTTTAAAGACCTGAATCATATGTTGAGCTCGTTTAAAACTTGCATAAGAAATTAATGTAGAATAAAGCCCTTTAATTTGAAAAGTGCATCTATAGTAGGTGTCCCTAGGATATCTTCTGGATCATTATTCAGAAAGGTTAAGGAGGACTTTATTTTTTCCTTTATTCTTTCTTTTTTTCCCCCCCTTATATTCAGTATGTATTTTCCAGTTTGCAGCTCAACGTGGTGCATTTCAACTTATAAAGAGGCAGAGATTTTAAAAAGGAACGGGGAGCTTTTTATTCACCTTCCACTTAATTTCCTTGCTGCCTTGCCAGTCCCAGCTTAATGAATGTAATTGCTACCTTTGATGAAAATACTATTATCAAGATCACACATTACATTGGAAAACAGTTTTTCTTTAAACACAGCTACTGCAGTCTCTAATTATGCATGTAACAAGTGGCTCCTGAACAAAAGAGCATGTTGTCTACAATTGCTAGGAATTGGAGCAAGGCAAATTTGAACAAAGAACAGATTAGATTTGCTCCATGCTCCACAAAGCCCATTCCCCTGATTAATTTCCTGCAAAAACTAAAACAATTCTCTCTTAAAAGAAACTAACCCTCATCCCCAGAATGATCCATATGCCATTTGTGTCAATCTATATGATGATAATGGCTACAGATTTAAATTATTAACTATTAGGTGTAGTAAAATAGGAAAGCTCTTTTATAAACTTACCTTTTCATATGTAAATAAGCGGTACAAGGACTTAAGGAACAAAACCCTGACTTTTCTGTGGAAACCAGGAGCAAGAAAGCACCCAGTAACTGAAARTCTGAATTGTGCATGTATAATCCAATTATTTTGTCAGTTTACTCTGTGCCCTGTGCTCTGCACAGGCACTACAGCAGGAAAACCAGGTCTCCCAAATGTCCTGTTGGGTTTTCCAAGGATCTCATTTTTCAGGGCTGATTTCCATGTTTCCATTTGAGGAGAGTTCCTCTGAAAAGGCTCTCATTTAATTCTTAAAACGAATCATTTTGTCAACAGGGTTTAATGAATCAMAATCAGAAGTGGAGATATATTTTGCTGTTATTCCATGGAAAAGCAGGTAAAATTTTGAATTAGTACTTGGCCTCTGATAAAATCCTGCAATAWGGATTGAATTGTTTTTTGGTATTTCTAATACAAGGAATTAGTCACAGCAGTTTAGAACATAGTGTTATTTTTCATTCCTACTTGTATTGATCCAGAATCCCTWGCTGTGGTACAGGATGCATATAAACCACAGTTAGGTGGGTAAAAGCCAAAAAAAAAAAAATTCTGCTCTAAAGTGTTTACAAGCTGGGTCAGGATTGGGTGTGGTCTAATATAAACCAAGGTCTAGGGWTTTTWTAAAGGAWAATTGRTGAGTTTCTCTCCTAGAAGGAAATWATAACAGGCTTGGTGGTTTTGGTGCCAGCAGTGGCAAAGTGAGGTGGCAGAGTTATGTGTAAAATGTGCTTTTCTCTGCACAATAGCTGCCACAGACTTTGTGCCCTCAAAATGTCACTGCAGARATCCCAGGGACAATCCTGCCCTGTCACACCTGCCATTTATCCCTTCTCACTCCCAAAAGGAGCTTTGTTTGCAGATGATCACAGTTCTTCCCAACTCACATTACCTGKAGTCACATAAAATCTTTAAAATCTGCCCTGCAGGTAAGAAAAAGAAATCAAAACCACTCATAATTTTCAATGTGGATAGAATTGTGRTGTAATTATGAAAATGAAATTACTTAGAACATAAAATCCTTCTTCACMTCAGCATCTTTAAGAAACTGAATAAAAGAAAATGTAAGACCTTTCTGTAGAAATGAAAATAATTTCTGTTTCCTGACACTTTTTCTCGAGTGTTTCAAACACCGTGGGTCTTCTGGTGATGGGACACCACAGAGCCTGCGCTGGTAGAAAAGAAACCTGAGAACAGCCTGGTGTTTTTAAGGCTTCTGGCTGCAAATATCTGTGACAAAAAGGAGCAGGCCTATAATTACTACCTGGGGAAGCTGGAGAACAAAACCAATATATTCAGGAAATCCAGAATTACTTGTGCTTTAGCTCCTTGTCTTCCCTCAAACACGATGAAAGTAATCTCATGAGTCTGGAGAAACACATTTGTGTACTTTTCCGAGAAAGKGTTGGGCTGTGAGTTTTTCTCCTTTTAGAGACTAATCCATTGTTCCCTGCAGTGGGTGTTCATCTCTTGTTTTAATGTAGCATTTGCTGCAGCACACTGTAAAAAAAAGCTGTTTGGGGAGCTGTGGCACTTGGAATATTTATCCCTTCATCATCCTGTCCCTACTTWCATCAGCCAGGTGCAGAAGTTCAGCACAGCTCCCAGTGTAACCCACAAGCCCCTAGGCATCATTCCAGGTATTATGTGGCACCCAATAATATATATTTTTTTAGTACAGTCTTTGTCTGGAGTTAGCATTAATTCACAGCCCCCTCATGGCCCCTGGTGCAGGGGTTGGGTGGGGACAAGCAGGGATTTCTCTGGGAGGGTGATGCACCTGGGGAGGATTGCTTTTTGCAGATCAACCAGAAACTATGAACTCCAGCCCTGAATTCTGCTCATGGTGCTACAGGGAATGGATAAGAATCAGCCCCACTCTCTGGACAAACCCTTTTTTCTGTATGGAGCCCTCCTCTGTCAGAGGAAGCGCTGCTCCCTCCCTTTGCACAGTAACAGAGCATTGGTCATGACCCAAACTGGGATTTA